TTTTTTTTTTTATCATAAATCGAGAGAACATTAAATTCCAAGTAAAAAGGTGTTGAGCAATCAGTGAATGACTGATTTTACAATTTTATTTTAAAATTTCACGTTACATTCCCCTTCCCCCCCCCCCTCCCTCGATAACTAAAGAAACGATATAATGAATTTTAGTTTATTTCTATTTATTCGAAATAATTTGAAAATTGCACAAGTAACTATGTGATGAAAGTTCGTTCACGGACGAAGCAACATTTACCAATCGATGGTAACGTCAATTTACGTCAATTCGCGTGAGAATGGACACTCACCCGAAAAACCTGACGTAGTCTCTGCGCATTCGAATCTCGTGCAAACGGTGCAACAAGAAGTTCGCTTCGATGACGATGATGCTTCTTCGTAATTTTTTCTCCTCGTCCAACGTCCTCTTGTGACCCGGTGGTAACCTTTTGCGCTTGAACATCATCACGTAGAACGGCCGCCGCATCCGCAACACGTTCTGCCTGCGAATGGCTCTCGGATGGTTCCTCGTTATCAAATCACGAAGCAGCTCGGTCGTCTCTTTGTTCGGCGACTCGAGCTTCTCCGGGTTCTCGTACAGGTGTTGCAAAAACGCGCTGTCGTGCGCCAGGTAACCGAGGTATATCTGCGAGAACAGGTACTGCAATCTCTTGAACTCGGCCTCCGCTCGAGCTTTCAGGTCGTTCACTTTGAACTTGGACTGCTCCTCCTCGATGCCTAGAAACCCACACGATGGAACACGATCGATTCATCGTTCACTTGCAACGCAACTACAATATACTTTCTTTCCTTATTCTCGTTCCTCTTTTTTGATCGTATTCTAAAACTAGCTAGATTTCAAGTTTTCAAATTCGGCTTCAATGAAAAAATTCTTTCTTCTCGGCTCTACCTTACCGCCGAAGTAAAAGTGTTAAATTACAGGTTTCTTCCTTTCCATCATTTATCTAATCCTTTAGTTTTTTTTTTTTTTTTTTTGTTTTTTTTTCACGTTCAAAATCATCTCCTGCTAGGTTACCCTGTGTATCTCATCGCTCGGTCGCGAATCAGACGAATATATCTGTGATGTTGCACAGGTTGCGCCGAAACGGGAGACAAAAGCATCGCGTAAACGCGCGACCATCTCTTTGTTACGGTTTCAAATGAAATCCCGGTGAAATATTACGGCGATAGCGTGGCTGGATTAAAATTTTCGCGCAAAGTAGAATTGATTACCGCCGCAATAAACCGGAATTAATTATCTTTTTACAGCGTTGGCCAACGTCGCTCGTTTATCGCGTTCGTATTTCCCGGTTTATTAAGCGCCGGATGTTCTTCAACCCGAAGAGAAATTCACTACAAAGAGAAACTAGCGGAAGGTTGTTGCAACAACTGAGCAGCCGAGCATAAAAGTGTTAAATTACAGGTTTCTTCCTTTCCATCCTTTATCTAATCTTTTTAGTTTTTTTTTTTCTTCTTCTTCTTCTTCCTCTCTCGGTCGTAGAAGAAGTCATCAGAAAAGTTGCGAAAAATCCAATTAGCGGAACGAAACGAACAATTTAGTTGCCGAGTAGAAACGAAAAACTTGTTAACCTTGCTCGTCCGTGGAACCATAGGTTCTCCCGCGAAAACTACAACCGAATTAACAAGTTGTGTGTCGCTATTTAAGGTTAATCGCAATTCCCCTGGAATTGTTCGTTAAACAACATCGAGAAAACTGCAATGTCGTCCGAACGTCATTTGCAAAGCATTTGCAAGCAAAGTACGAATAATTTACGTAGGTAATGTATAAATGAATTATATATATTCATTATATTATATATGAATTGTATAAGTTCATTTGTAATATATTACGTATCATAAATGAATTGTAATTCATTACATCATGAATTATATAAATTCATTTGTAATATACAATATATTATAAATAAATATAAATTATAAATATATAAAATAAATACATGTTATAAATAAATTTATATAATTCTTAATTATATCATTATTAAATAACAATGAATTAAATTATAATTCATTGTATCATATTATGGATTATATAAGTTCATTGATAATATAAAATATATTATATGTTATAAATAAATTTATATAATACCTAATTATATCACTATTAAATAATAATGAATTATAAACGAATTATAATTCATATATTATGACATGAATTATATAACTTCATTTGTAATATACAATATTTTACATATTATAAATAAATTTATATAATTCTTAATTAAATAATAATGAATTGTAAGTGAAATATAATTCATTATATTATAT